TTATTAGTTCTGTTGCTTTTGGTTTGTTGCAGAATGTGTTTTGTTTTCCCACAGAATGTGTTTTGTTTCGTTTTGCATTTTATGTTGCATTTGTCCATTTTTGGTTATGATTTGCTATGAATGTGTTTTGCTTGTATTCTTTGTTGTATTTGGTGATTCAAAAGCTTTGAGTAGAGTGATATCCATGTTTGGTTAAACTGCATTTTTTGTTGCAGTTTGTAATAGCATGTTCCTGTAATATTTTGGCTTTGGTGAAATTTATGCATTTTCTGTGACTGTTATGCTCTAAGCTGATCTATCAATTCTCTATAATTTTTCCTATATCAGGCTAAGAGAAGGAGAAACAATGGAAGGCAATCACAGAGTCAAATGCAGTCTCAGTGGGGAGAGCAGGGTCACTCTCATAGGCAGTCTCAAGGGGAAGCTCGAGTCTACAGTTCCCAACACAGGCCTGCACAAGCAACAGGGACCTCTCAGATTGGGGAGTGATAGTATAGTGACTATAGGAACTTTTGGATTTTTAGGCACATGCAACTTCTTTCTTTTGTAATTTTTTGGGTTTTCTTCTACTTCAATGAGAATGTCAATGTAATAGCAATAGTCATATTTAATAGTTGCTTCTACCTACTTGTAAATCTCACAACTATTGATTTACAAGTGCCTGTTTCATACTTATTACCAATAGTAATGCAAAATACAAGTTCTTTTGGCAATTCTATGTTGTTGAATTTAACACTTCATATTAGGCAAACTTCAATATTTGTCATTTCACTCATCTCCCAAAAATTTACATGACAACAGGTGTAATAGCCAACACCACTAACACTGCAAGTCTAATAAAATGCTAAAGCCTACATCCCTAACTACCCACTTATATTCATTACGACAACACCACCCACTGCCTTTATAACCCCCCAACAGCTACAACCTTTACTTAGATAGCAAAAACAACAAAACAACAAAAAGCACACAAACACAACAAATGCATATTACATTCAGCAACTTCAGATGCCTTACAACCCCATCCATCCCTTCAAATTGTCCCACAAGTTTCCTGTTCTCGCCCTTCATGGTGTACACCTCCCTTTTAACTTCCAAAACATCTCTAACAAGATTTCTATTAAGCATTGCTTCAAAATCATTTCCCCTTCTTGCTTGTGGGTGAGAATCCACAACCACACCCCTAACACTTGCCTTAGAAGCTGCCTCAGCTGGCTTGCACCATCCCAAAAATGATCCTCATTCATTATTCACGCAATAGTAGTACAACCAGTTCTTATTCTTGCTAGTCTCGGAGATCCGAATGCTAGCCTTCCTCCCACATTTGCAACTTCTGTTGAGGAACCTGCCATCCCAGACACTATCTCCACCACTCGAGGAAGTCATCTTCCTTCAAACCTTAGCATCTCTCTTCCTTATGAAATGGAGACTAAATTTCAATTAGAGGTAAAAGTGTGTTTAGTGTATATAGCACAAGCATTTATATTATTAGTAAGGGTACTTTGGTCTTTTTTATTTATCACTCCTCTAACTGCTCTTTTTGCTTTGAACTAACAGCAAAAATGGGTAATTATGGACGGAAGGACTGAACTATATGACGGGAGTGAAAGATGGGGACCGCCAAGTTCATTTCATGAAAAGAGGAATGAACTGGTTGTATTTCCAATTATACAGGTATGTAATAGTAATTTTCCCTTTAAAAAAAATAAGAAAGGAAAAGAAAATTTATTATTTATTTGGAAGAGTTAAATTGTAGAGAAAAGTAAATGTAATTATTTTCACTTTTCATGGCTCAACTATATTCCTATCAACTTGTCATATTTATAATTTAATTTGTCACATAAAAATAATTAAACTATCATTGGTGTAAAAAAAATTCATATTACCAATTTTCAAGCAAAGCTCTATCGAAATGCTGACGTAGAAAGCACAATCATCAAATTTAATTTTTCTTCACCACGTTCAACCAAACTTTTTTTTTTTTTTTGTGATCCATATGGAATTAAAAGTTCTATTAGGTTTAATTTCACCTGATAGCCTCTCTGAAAATTGAATGGAAGCTATTTGAAAGAATAATAAGTTTTTTTTTTTTTTTTTTTTATTAGGTTTTAATTTCACCTGATAGCCTCTCTGAAAAATTGAATGGAAGCTATTTTGAAAGAATCAATAAAGTTTTTTTTTTTTTTTTTTTTGTTTAGAGTTTTTTTTTTTTTTTTTTTTTTTTTGTTTAGAGTTTTGATAGCTTTATTTATGGGTGGACTAACTGTTTAACAAGTTGAGAGGAGTATCTCCACTATCCAAATAAGTTAACTCAAATGTTTTAAATATATATATTCTAAAGTATGTAAAAATATTTAAAGGTATTTAATTATGTATGTCCTACTATATTATAGTTCTTAGGTCTTAAATATGTTTGTTATCAAATGTTCCCCAAAGTACACATGTTATACTTTGATTAACTGCCATTAGTGAGTTACTTAAACTGAAATGTATGGACCGCTTAAATCCAAATAGGTGAGTTGCTTAAACTTGAATAAATGAGTTGTTGAAGCTCAAATAGATGGACTGCTTTCGTCCGAATACGTGAGCTGCTTAAGGTCTAACAAATAGACTACTTAATATATATAGTGAAGTAGAGTGCAAGAATCTCAATGTTTAGATGCTTAGTAAAATCTAAGTCCTACTCTTTGATAAAATAATTCTTGACTTGTCCATTAGATTTTCTTACAAGATAGATAATATTAATTCAAACATAAATTTGAATCCTGCTTTTGATAACTGAATTTAAAGTTGAACTCTTCTTTTAATACCTAGTACTTGGCTACTATATAATATAGTTATTCCGTCAATAATATTATCTTCCCAATACGAGAGATTAATCAAAATCAAGATTAACTATAAAAATCTAAGGAAATAATAAAGATGATAATACATAAATGACCTTATGGTGCATACATCGTATGGGACAAGTAACTATAACTCATATATAAAAATGGAGACAAATAATGTCGCTTATAAGGAATCTCAAAAGTATAATATAGCAAGATCAGAAATCATAGCTAGAAAAAATCCAAACTAACCTTTTAACCAAAGGACATTGGCAATGCCATATATCATCTACTCCGACTATATATTCTATATGATGAATTATATACCATTTACTTATTATCCCTTGTCTTAAGGAGAAAACATCAAATTCAAACCATTATTGACTTACCTGTACAGTAAGAGAAACCATCTTTTTTATAAAGTTCTGAAAATATAAATATAAATAGAAAGATAAATAGGATATAAAATTGATGTAAACGTATATCCTGGACATTTGTGGAAATGTCTTTTTTTGTTTAACAGAATGATAAAATAGTTTGACGGAATTAAATTTCAGAAATTATACATAGAGTTTGCCAAAATAGAGGGACAAGTTAGTTAATTAGATCAAAACGCAGAAACTAAAAAGTATTTTTCCATTAATAAATTGTCATGAGTGGGATGAAACAAGCAAATGTGAGAAAGAAAGGGATAGATAGATTACTTTTTTTTTTTTTTTTTTTTTTTTTTATTAACTTTTTTTTTTTTTTTTTTTTTTTTTTTTTAAATATTTATGCAACTGTTTTTTGAAATCTAACTGAACCCAGGTTAAGTTTTAATCAAGTTCAATTATGGGGTTCATAATTTTGTAATTTTTTTGTTCCTGGAAATTTAATGCCTAAATTAGCTCTCGTATAATTGAGGGGTTTTTTTTTTTTTTTTTTTTTTTTTTTTAAATATTTATGCAACATCGTTTTGAAATCTAACTGAACCCAGGTTAAGTTAATCAAGTTCAATTATGGGGTTCATAATTTTGTAATTTTTTTGTTCTGATTTAATGTCCTAAATTAGCTCTCGTATAATTGAGGGGATTATTACGTATTAAGCACATATTTAGACTTGCCATAACATGGATTTGTCCTTGAAAAAAAAATTATAAAGAAAGTAAAAAGTGACTTTCTTTTTTTCTTTGAAGGTGACTTTTGACGTGACTTCGTTAATCTTTATAAACATTGGTATGCAAAATTATTGGTAAACCGTTGTTGTAACGGAACAATTTGGTAACGTAGACTGAGCCAAATAAATTAAAGCCAAAATGTACCTGTATCCGAATATTGTATCTGCCAATAAATTAATAATACAGATTGTCTCAATTCAAAATAATAATAATATAATATCAGAATGGTATAAGTAGAAATAATTTATATATTTTAAATAAAAAATCGAGTATTTAATTATTATAAATAAAAAAATTCCATTAAAAATGCTTTTCTTTAAAGACATGATGGATTGATTATTTATAAATAGAGTGAATATAAATACTTACGAGGTTGAGCCAACCAATTTAAATAATTTTTTTCTTTTTTTTTATGTTAAAAAGTAGGCTCTTTTTTAATAATTTTATATAATCCAATATGATTTGATCGGAATGTCATTTTAAAACCGATCTAATGCAGGGTGGATATTTGCAAGGTTTTTTTTTTTTTTAATTGTTGGGTCAGGTATGAATAGTGCAAAATCCGACTCAACCCAATCCATGATCATCTAACACTTATAGTCTAGCATGAAAAATAATAATATTAATAATCACATGTGGCCTAGCACCAAATATAATAATAATAATAATAATAATTTGGTCTCATCGTATTCTAAAATTGCTAACACCCACCGTTGATCTAAAAACAAAGAAAAAGCCATATCTGCGCAGAGATTGCCCGCGTTGACGACATCCAAAGACCACCGGAGAATCGCAAAATCAACAAATTCCTTGGGTAAATCATACAAAGATTTGCCTAAAATTCAACGCGACAGCTTCTACACTTCACCGTAACGTGAACTCAACAACATGATCAGTTTACTCAACACCCACCTTTCCTTCTATTTTTATTTATTTCTATTTCGATTCATTTAATGCTGCCACGTTTCATGTTAGCTCATCAACCCTTTGGTAATGGTAAGTGTAAGAAAGAGATCAGATCCTATTTATTATACTTACCCTCTTTCAATTCATTCACCGATTTCCTGCTGTTATAAGGCTCTACAGTACATGCATGTGCTCTTTTCCCTCTCTCTAGAATTATTACCTCTTGGAAATTCTTGGATCTTGGATTTCTTAGCTGGAAAATTTTCATAATTTGGTATGTTAATCTAATAATCTTCTACAAGAACAACTCAAAGTGGGTTTTCAGCAGCCCAAGAAACTCAACCCCCACCACCACTCTCTCCTAAAGAAAAGAAAAAAGAAACAAAAATACAAAATAAGAGTTTGCCTTTTGTCAATAATGCCTGCAAGTTTGAGAATATAGAAAGCATTGAGAAGAGAAAAGAAAGATTATTTTTGTAGTCTGCAAATTCTGAAATGAGTTCACGTGAAGACTATGCTGGTATGTCCGTGAGTTTTGCAAGCAACAAGTTGGAAATACGATGCGTTCAACCGTTTCTGATCCTCCCTTTGATTGAAGTAGCGTTTTCGAATTTCTGAGCTGCCCAGCGCTCTGCTTATATGTTTGGAGTCGTCGTTTTTGAGTCCAAAGGGAAGAAACAGTGAAATTGGCGCCTTTTTAGGAAATTATTGATGGGGATGTTTGCTTGTGGAAAATGGTGGATCTGAAGGTCTTTGGGTTTATTTATTTGTTTAATTCTTTTTTGAAAGTGATTAATGATTTGGATTAAAAGCGCCAAAACAAGAGTACAATGAAAAGGAGCACACTAACAGAGAAAAGTGCAGTTGGCCTTTTTGGCCTTTGATGATGAATAATTTTATTCCCTGTTTTTGGAGTTGCAGTAATGTCACTCTTTATGGAAACTAAACCAAAACCAAGCCTAATGATATCTTTCAAAGGGTTTCGTTTCAGACTATGATCTGAGCCTTGTATTGCATTTCTATTCTATACCTAGTACCGGCGGCGGCGGCGGCGGCGGCGGAGTATTGATTTTCCAACATGATGGAACCTCCGGCTCCGGCGTTGGCTTCAAGGTACTATTTTCTCTGTTTGTTTTTATTCTCTGTTATTTCTCTTCTTTCTCCGGTTACGTCAAGTGATGCAGAGGCGCTTTTGAAACTCAAGTCATCAATTGATCCATTAAACTCACTGCCATGGCGAGAAGGAAGTGATTTCTGCAAATGGCGAGGGATCAAAGAGTGCAAGAATGGTAGGGTGACTAAGCTTGTTCTGGAGCATCTTAAGTTGAGTGGTACTTTAGATGGAAAAACCCTAAATCAGTTAGATCAACTTCGCGTTTTAAGCTTTAAAGGGAATTCAATTTCAGGCCCAATACCTAATCTTTCTGGCCTAATCAATCTCAAATCCCTTTTCCTCAATAACAATAATTTCTCCGGCAATTTCCCTGATTCTATTGCCAGTCTACATCGATTAAAAGTCATAGTTTTAGCCGAAAACCAAATCTCTGGTCCAATCCCAATATCACTTCTCAAACTCAACCGATTATATCTTCTTTACTTGCAAGACAACAGTTTTATCGGAACAATTCCTCCTTTGAACCAAACAAGCCTCAGATTCTTCAATGTGTCTAATAATAAACTGTCTGGTCCGATTCCCTTGGCTCCAGCTTTGATTCGGTTCAATACATCATCGTTTTCTGGTAATGTTGCTCTCTGCGGCGAACAGATTCAAAATCTATGTAATAATACAGCGTTTGGGCCAACGGCCGGCCCTGCTTATCCTACAACGCCGAGATCAAAGGCGAAATCCAAGCGTAGTAAATTGATCAAAATTATTGCAGGGAGCGTAGGTGGGTTTTTGCTGCTTTGCTTAATTTGTTTACTCGTACTATGCTTGGTATGCAAAAATCGCGGTAAAAAACGGGATAACGTAAGAATTAAAGGCAAAGGGGTGGTTGCCGGTGATAATGGCGGCGCCGGAAATGGTGGTAACGTTGGAGGTGGTGGGGGTGGCATGGGTGGTAATAATAGCGGAACACAAGGTGGTTTTTCATGGGAGGGAGAAGGGTTAGGTACTTTAGTATTCTTGGGTGCAGGGGATCAGCAGATGAGTTATAGCTTAGAGGATTTATTAAAGGCGTCAGCAGAGACATTAGGAAGAGGTACGATGGGAAGTACGTATAAAGCTGTAATGGAATCTGGATTCATCGTGACCGTTAAAAGGCTAAAAGATGCAAGATATCCAAGGTTGGAGGAGTTTAGGAGACACATGGAACTTATTGGTAGGTTAAGACATCCTAATCTGGTCCCACTCAGAGCTTATTTCCAGGCTAAGGAGGAACGCTTGCTTGTATATGATTATTTCCCCAACGGCAGTCTCTTCTCTCTCCTTCACGGTATGTCGGTGAATCTTTACGCATCTTTTCCTTTTTTATGTTTAATACGAGTTTGGCGGAGTATATATATTATTTTAATTGTGTTTTTGCTTCTCTTTTTGTTTTTATTTGGATAAAAAACATGCACCATCTGACTCTGACTTGGAGATTATTCGCACTTACGTGGTTAACGGCAAAAACTGCGTTAATCATCCTATTCATGTTGCATATTAGTATAATAACATCAGAATGTGTTAGTGTTAGAAGCTAAAAAAAAACCATTTTTTAATAAGTCATTTTGAGAAGTCACGTGATAGCAGATAGTGGATGTTAGGGCAATAAGCGAGCCAGAGAAATACTTACTTCGGATGTATACCGTTTATACACTAAATTAATTATAAATAATATTTTAATTAAATAATGATATTTATGATTATATATCAAGAAAAAATGAGAGTAATTTTTTTAGGAAAATCATTTTGTAATTAATTTATACTCATACACTGAGTTTAGGCAAAAAATTTCGGTGAACATTATTAGTTTTGAGCTTGTTAATTAAGTAGGAGGCAAACAATATGACATGCAAGTTGGGGGCAGAACGCTGAGAGTGTTTTGAAAATTATTGAAAAATCAAGTTTTGAATTTTGGATATGACAAGCAATTTTAATTTTTTTGTTAAAGAGAAGGGGCAATTACCCACCTTTTATACAAGTAGTTTTATCCTTGCTTATAAGGGGATTTTTTAAAAATCTAAATTATAAATAAATCGGGTTTGAATTTAAGTTTTCAAACTCAAATTGGATCCGGTTTTTCAAATTTAACTTGAATATAGTTTGAGTATATATTTTTAATGAGTTAGGCTTGAATTTCTTTTTTTGTATTTTTGTTAGATTAGGTTTCAGAGGTTTGAATTTGCAATTTCTGAATATAAAGATGAGATTTTAAGATCCTGGAGTTAAAGACTCATTAATTGAAGCTTTCTCTATTCATTAATTGGAATTGAATTTATGGAGCGAAATAAAGGTGCAACTGAGTTAGAATTTGGACAGGCCAGGATCAGAAATAGGGTAGCATGCCCCCTTTCTACTACTTCAGGTCATGTGCATTTGCGACCTGCCAACCTGCACCTTTCCTACCCTGCTGGCTGTGGCTGGCCCTCTTCTAGTCCTAAGGTTTGATGGGACTATATATATATATATATATATAGATATATAGCTTTTGTTTGGACAAGAAAAATGAAAATGAGACTGATTTTTCTTTTTTCTAGAAAATAAAATTATTTTCACCTTATCAGTACAATTGTTATAGTTTTTTTTCTACCAGAAAGTTTCTCTCTTAGTAGCAGCATGGCCATTCCAGCCTTTTTAACCTTTTGGTTTTCAGCTAGATGCTATGGAAATCTGTCTAGCTAGGAAAGTTCCCAGGAAATGTAGTGATATGATAGGACACTCCCATCATATTTGAAGTTTGAACACAGATATGGAATACCTGGACAAAAATTTTAAAAATTTTACATCTTCAGTGTTCTTGTGATAATTAAAAAATATATATTAATACATTGTTACTTTTCATTATGCTTAATTAATTATTTATTCAAATCATACTACAAATTAAAATTCATATATAGATATATAAAAATAACTAAAATAAGAAAATTACAAATAAAAGATTCAATTTAGAGACTTGAATAAAATGTTTAAATTAATCAGACATGGACAAATTAATTAAAAATGATCTGATGGTATTTTTTATTTTTTTTAAATAGAATTTAAATTAATGTATTTTTCCCCTTTTTTTTTTTTTTTTTTTACTTGAATAAAATGTTTAAATTAATCAACATGGACCAAATTAATTAAAAAATGATCTGATGGTAATTTTTTATTTTTTTTTAAATATGAATTTTTAAATTAATGTATTTTTCCCCTTTTTTTTTTTTTTCCCTTTTTTTTTTTTTTTTTTTGGTGAGAATATATTTCCTCCTTTGTCAAAATCCAGGGTTGGTTGGGTGGGTCAAAAGGCTATCCTTTTAATTTAATATATGAAGAGAGGATCTGATGTGGTCGGGGTGATTGTACATTTATTTTTACTAATGCATTTTACCTGCCCCTGTCGCTTTTTGGCCCCCTCTCCCAATGATATTGGTAAAACGACAATCAATATGTTTATAATTTAATTAAATGTATTTATTTTTTAAATCAATTTATTTTTTGAAAACTCAATCTCGAAAAGGCGCTTTGAAATTGACGTTACAACTATGCTGTTCTCTGACTTCTGACGCTGCATGTTAGTGGGTGTCCCACTGAACACGTGTCATGGTATAATTTAATTTGACTCTTTGACTGGCCGTAGTAGAAGAAGACATAATACTGTCTTTATTTATTTTATTTTATTTTGTTTTATTTTATTTTTTTAACTAGAAAGATAATACTACTCCTTTACTGGACATAATAGTAGTTCAATTTTTGGAGGTGACAGAAAATTAAGTATTTTCTGTTAGAAAGAAGTGATCTTTATTCAATTATTAATTTTAACTTTTTGGTGGAAACTACAATAAAAATTAAGGTTTATTATTTGAAGGATATTATTGACAAAATAATATTATATTTTTGAGTTTTTGAATTTTTAATTAAAGTAAAAAATTAAAAAATTAATTTGAGACATTTTAAATTAAAAATGTGCATTATCATATTTTAGACATTTTTATGAGTTTTACGTTTCGTACTGTTGTTTTTCAATGTATTATGAAGATTAATATTTTTTATTTATTTAAAAATTTATGAATTTTTAGAAATTAAAATTTATTTTATTATATTCTCTAAAAAATATTTGCTTAATTATAATTAAATAGTATCTATACATGTTATTTATGTTTTGATATATATGTGTGTGCGCATTGTGTTCTTTTTTTTTTTTTTTTTTTTTTTTGTTGAGAAAGAAATGTGCAGTGTGTTTATTGTTAAAATATATATTTCTTTTTACTTTATTAATCATTTACAGACATATGAAATTGAAATTAAATTCAAAATATATGAAGTTTTAATCAATAAATAGATCATCAGAAAGTTCATATCAACTAGATTTACAATCAAGAAACCAATTCTACTAAAATAAAAAGAATGATAACCTTCAAAAAAAAAAAAGAAATGTTTAATATTGAAAATAAAAGATAAATTGAATCTTATATTAAAATTATTTAAAAAAAAAAAAAAAAAAAAAGAAATGTTAATTTTGAAATAAAATAAATTGAATCTTATATTTAAAATTATATTAAAAGCTTATTTATGATTTTTTTTTAACACGTATACATATAAAATTTCATGACTAATTTAAATGGTTTGTGAGCTCTTATTATTTTACGAGTTCATTTTATGATTTGAGTTTGAAACCTTCCTCTGATTCAAAACTAAAAATGCAAGTTTAGCAACCTCGAGCAAGGGTGAACAAACTCAATGCCTTCAAGTTTGGATCACCCATTTCTGCATCCATACAGCTTTTAAGAATTAAATTGCTTCAATGCCTTCATAGAATTCCTAGTATTATCCCCAATTTCCTAACTTTAGGTTCTTGTTATCACAACGCAAGTTTGTTAGTTTTCCTCCTTTGTTTGCCGGTTTGTAGTTTTGGGTTGTTAATTATTCCTTGTTTTTTTTTTATGTTTTTTATAATTTCTTCAAATGCTTTTGACATAAATTCCGTTGCTCAAGTTTAATCTTCACTTTTCCAAGCGATGTTTGTCTTCACAGATTCAAGTTAATGGATTGACTCATTTTTACATGTTGTAGTACATTTTCTGGCTTCTGTTTAGTCAAATCCTCTCTTTATCTGCTTATTTGTGCACGGTAGTCAAAGTTTCTTGCCAATTCTTGTTCTTTAGTTCTTATGACTGTAATACCAACTAATCTAGAAGTTGGATTGCCACTTTGGCTGTCTTACTAGTTTCAGCCTATTCCAGGCAAACAACCTTTTAGAAATTTTACACAATAATAGTTCATCCCAATAGAGAGCTTTCTATCTTCTTCTTTAATATGGCACATCCTTTTTATCTCACTGAATTTTCTAGTATAGTTAAATACATATTGATTATCTTGTTTTAGAGCATTCAACTCATAAGAAAAAAAAAAAAAAGGAACTTCCCATATTAATATGTGTCTTGAAGTTTTTCCATTTCCTAACTTTAAAGGATCTCCCAAAATTGTGGGAAAATCGCAGTGAGACTCAGAGTGCTGGTATCGAACTACCAGGAAACAATTAGGAAACAACTTGGACTTACAGAAATTTGAACTAAGGTTTATAGAAACCAGGAATTGGAGATGAACAATTAACTTGACAGATATGATTTTTTTTTTAGAACAATAAATAAGAATAATTTTTCCTACAATCATGGACTACCAAATTCCAATCAACAATCCACTATCAATTAAACTATTGCAACTAGTCAAAACTCTCCCCTTAGTTGCCATTGGGCTAGTTAGTGGTTTGGTTGAGTGCTTGACATCACTTCTCCATTTAGTTGGATCCTAGTCACTGTCAAGATTATTGAGAAGCTCGTCTGACAAGTAACTGCAATTGGTTTTCTACTATTGGGCAAATGTTGCTTCTCTACTGTTATCCTGAGTAAGGATGTTCCACACGGCTTCGGTCATTGGTGAAACTAGTTACTTTCACAGATTTCTTTATCTTAAAAAGTCACCACAATGTGGCATATGATATTCTAAGGGCTAAACTTTCAGGAGTTAAATCAAGAACTTTCTCATTGATGAGGATAAGCAAACACAGAAAACGATATACGTATCATTTTTGTCTTAGTTGAGCCATCAAGTTGTTACCACTTTTTATACTTTGGCAGCACTTGCACCACATTGGAATTTTAGGTGTTTTACTCTTCTTCGAGGCAATACCCCTGAGCTTACAAATACCTAGTTAGATTATACTTCAATGAAAAAGATGAAGAATGCAAATGATAAAGTTTTTGCCCCAATATAGGTATATGTGCCAAAATAAATTATGGCCAGAAAAACTTAAGAAATTGATGTTTTTTTTGGTTGAGATTGAAGGAAGGAGGCTGTTGGAAGGCCATCAAAGAAAAGATGAAAATAAGAAGAGAGAGAGAGAGAGAGAAGAATAGACACCAAAATCTTTTAAATCAGAAATTAAAATTCCAATATAAAAAAGTTAAGAGAATAGCCAAGTTATATAGGTAATTTATAGATTTAAAAATTAGCCCCATTTCTAAACCAATACTAGATAGGAAGTAAGCAGCTTTTCTATAGATAATTTGCAAATTTTAAGGTTTAGTTAAGTTGACTATCCTTTATTTTAATAAATATTTAACTGCTATAATTTCTCAATTTAACTTCATAGAAGTGTTGATAACTCAAGATGTGTTTGTCCATGTACAGGAAGCTTAGCTTTTGGCTATTATATCCTCTATGTTTCTTCATGACTACAGATAGTTTGCAAATTAAACAACCATAAAATGTAAAATTAGAGGAAAGAGTAAAGTTCTCTATCAAGTTTCGCATTAAAATATTAGATCCTATTATTAAACTTCCAGTTGAATACAAAGATAACAAAAATGAGTTTACTTGATATCTGCATTGCAACAGCAAATGGGAACACTGGAGGATATGAGAGATCTTAATAATCAAGATGAAACTGACTTTGGTGGTGCATAATGGCCAATGTATAATTTGGTTTGACCACAAATAGATAATTCGGTTTGATGATCGAGTGGTGTTTTTAACATATTGAAGCTTAGAGTTTTCCTAAGTTTGCTTTGATGCCTTTCCCAAGTGATAAATTTCTGAAGATTTGAATAGCAGAAACATTGTCCTGGTGATATGAACAGACAAATTAACTACTCTAATATGCTGTCTTGTTTTAACTGACTAATGAGGTTGGAACTTGAACGACTCTCCCCGGCTTTATCTCCAATGATTTGTGCTGTTTACGTCTGATATGTATGAATATGAACTATGCAATGCTTTAACCACATAATCTGGATTGGAAGCTGTCAGCGAAGTATTCTTTTCTGTTTTATTTATGAAGTACTTGGCTATTTTTTACAGGAACAAGGACTTCCGGGGGTGGAAAGCCTCTTCACTGGACTTCTTGCCTCAAAATAGCGGAGGACTTGGCAACTGGACTGCTGTATATCCATCAGAACCCTGGCTTGACACACGGAAATTTGAAATCCTCAAATGTGCTATTAGGGCCTGATTTTGAGTCCTGCCTCACTGATTATTGCCTGACTATGTTTCGAGATCCGGACTTGATTGAGGAACCCAGTGCAACTTCTCTTTTCTATAGAGCACCTGAAAGTCGGGACTTGCGAAAACCTTCCACTCAACAAGCTGATGTCTACAGCTTTGGTGTTCTCTTGTTGGAACTTCTAACTGGAAAAACCCCTTTCCAAGATCTTGTTCTGGAACATGGTTCAGACATACCTAGGTGGGTTCGGTCAGTCCGTGAGGAAGAGACGGAGTCCGGAGATGAACCTAACTCAGGTAATGAGGCAGCTGAGGAGAAACTTCAGGCTCTTGTAAATGTTGCAATGGCTTGTGTCTCACTGGCACCAGATAACCGGCCAACTACGAGGGAAGTGTTGAAGATGATAAGAGATGCAAGAGCAGAAGCTCAAGCTTCATCCAACAGTAGTGACCATTCGCCTGGAAGATGGTCAGACACGGTTCAGAGTTTGCCTAGAGAAGAACATTTGAGCATTTGACAACCGGTTAGTGATTAGTGAAGTTAGTGTCTTCAATTAATGTATTCTGATTTTTATTTAATTTTTGAAAATGAATCTCGATTCTTCAACCAGGCACTGTAGAGTCTACTGATGTAAAGTTTCCACATTTTATTCTTGATTTGTTAGTTGAGTTAGTTAGCATATAAGTTGGAGTTGCTTAATCCGCAATTTGACATTTGTTGAGTCCTTGATTTTATGATTTGATGCAATTCTTGTATTTTACTCAAAACAAATTCAACAGAGTGATTTAAATTTAGTCTCTTTGTTGAAAGAATATTTCGTATTTCTTTTATTGTGTATTATATTTTCAATCTCTACACCACTATATATATACACAAGATTGTTCCAATATAAGAAGTAATCTAAATAGGAATAAACATAAATTAGGAAAGACAATAAACCTAAACTAGGAAAGACAATATTGACTTTAATTACAAAGATTTCAACACTCCCCCTCAAGTTGGCGCATAGATTTTACTCATGCCCAACTTGCAAACTAAAGGATGAAACAGTTTGCTATTCAAACCCTTTGTGAAAACATCGGCTAGTTGCTCTTTTGAAGCTATATAGGAGGTTGCGAGTTGGCTTAAATCCGCAACTCTTGACATTTGTTGAGTCCTTGATTTTAATGATTTGATTGCAATTCTCTGTATTTGACTTCAAAACACATTCAACGAGTAGCATCTTAAAATTTGCTTCTCTTTGTGAAAGAATTATCTTCGCTATTTCTTTTATGGTGTGATTATATTTCTTCAATCTCTACCACCACTTAAATAATATATACCCACAAGGATTCGTTTCCAATTATAAGAAGTATCTAGGAATAGGAATAACACATGAAAATTAGAAAGAGCCAATAAACCTAAACTAGAAAGACAATATTGACTTTAATTACAAAAGTATTTCAAACAACGTTCCCCCCTCAAGTTGGCTGCATAGATTTGCTTATCTCATTGCCCTAACTTGCAAACTAAAGGATGCGGCGTGTAAACAGTTTTGCTATTTCACACCCCTTTGTTGAAAAACATCGGCTAGCTTGCTCTTTTTGAAGCTACTTAGGAGACATTTTAGCAAGGCATTTCAACTATCTTCCTCTTCTAATAAAAGTTGACATCAATCTCTTTATGTGCTAGCTCTCGATTCATGCTTGGACTGGATTACTTCATAATACCAATGACTGCTTCTTACATTACCATAAACCTAAGGAGATCATTTGTTGTTTTCAACAACTTTAAACTCTTCCATTAATCTGCCCAACCATACGGAGTTCACAATATGGCCCTGTGCCACTCACGTCTCTATTTATTATGCGTTCTTGCCACTGGGACCCTAGCAAACAACAGCCTGCTTTCTTGCTTCTACCATGTGACATAGGTTTCCCTCCAACAAAAACACATATCCTTCGAGGGTTGATCTGCCTATCATCAAGAGGAACGCAGGCCAATCCGCATACTGCTATAGCCTATTATTGGTCAAATTAGGGGCCGTGTTTCGGAAAATTAAAATCCCTCTACGTTCCAGGAGCTCGATTTTAAATATCTTTAGAATTCCGATTGCCACAGCTTCTAAGTGAGGACTACCGTAGGGCCCAATGCATATACTGAATCCGATGCACAGCTTCTAAGTGAGACTACCGAGGGCCATGCATATACTGACTCACTAAACTTACAACATAGACAATATCTGGTCTAGTATGGGCAAGGTAAATCAACCTCCCGACTAATCTTTGATACCTGCCAACATCAACTGAACTTTCCACTCCAGCTTGAAGCTTATGATTGGCTTCAATAGGTGATTCTGCAGGTTTACATTCCAATATACCAGTTTCTTTAAAGAGATCAAGGATGTACTTTCTTTGAGAAATAAAAATCCCTTTTTCTGATCTAGCAACTTCTATCCCAAGGACATATCTCAACTTTCCCAAATCCTTAATCTCAAACTCCCTAGCTAACAAATTTCTCAAGTGAGTCATTTCTTCTTCATTATTTCCAGCCATCACTATATCATCAACATAAACAATAAGCAATATGATTATCCATTGATAATGTTTTAATCGAACAAAAGTTGCGATCAGCATCCGCTCTGAATGTAACAGAACAGCATAGGTCTTTTTACTAAACCTTTCAAACCATGCCCCTTAGTGATTGCTTAAGCCCATTATAATGACTTCTTCAGCTTGCAAACTCTTCTCTGGTTTTTGTCACTCATTCAAATCCCAGGGAGGAATTTATCCGATATACACCCTCTTCTTTCAAAATCACCATGATAGGAAAAGCGTTTTTTAACATCAAAACTGATGTAATTCCCAGTCAGATTGGCTGCCACCAAGGACAATAACAATTCTGATGTATTCATCTTGGCTACAGGGGCAAAAGTCTTCCCTGGTAATCACACTTCATAGGTCTGACTGAACCCTTTCTGCGCTACACTCCTGCCTCATCTATACCTCCTCAATGGAATCATTGCCTCTCATGTATTAACTGTGAACACCGGAGTGGGCGAGTGCGGAGAGCGTGAGTGTGCGTTTCCCCTATGGATGGAGTTTAACAAGATCCCATGTCTCGTTTTTTGCCAAAGCTCTCATCTCCTCAAACCGATCTGCAGCCTCTTCCCACTTTTTGAGTCTGTAATGCCCTCTTGCCAATCTTCCTTCGCTATAGAAATAAGATAGAAACAGGACAAAACAAGAAGGCTCCCTATAGGAAGGGGACACCGAGCATATATAGGATTATGAAATGACCGAGGAATGCGGATTCCGTTTAGTGCATGTTCTAACTCCTTTTCCTAATGAGCAATAGGGAATATTAAGGTCATCTGTCAGAAGGGCTAGAAGGGCTGGAATCAAGATTAGGATCAGAATCATCAGGAATTAAAGAAGACTCACCAAGTTCTTGTTCGGCTGTATTTTCAGAGCCTGAAATTAGAGAAGACGGTTGATCAGAGGTCTCATGCTCCATGGTTGTATCTGTATTAGTCCGCCGTGTGTAGGTTTTCAAATCAGGTCTATCCAATCTTTTTAGAGGTTTGGGTGGTTTTTCTATCCTACTATCTATGTCTACAGGAAACTCCCCCTGGAAAGGAATGTCATTCATCACCTCTTCCATCTAATATTTCTCCCCCTGAAGAGGTGATTGGGATTTCGTCCGACCCATTGAAGGAGAGTGATATGGAAGGAGGAATAAGACTGAAATTTCCTCGAAAAAATGTAACACTCAATACTCACAAAATATTTTTCCCTTAAGAAGGAGGATTCGTACTAACACTGTTGTATCATTTTGTGAGTAGTAGAGTAACAACAAAACCACACCACTCTCAAGGGCTCATAGGATTCCTAATTTGTCTATGAGACTCCATATTCTGAACCGCAACCATTGAACAAAACAAAAACACATCAAAGACTTATAGAGGTCATCCTCTAATATGAGAGGGTTTTTATCCTTTGAAGAACCGTCCTAATGGGAGTTTTTAAACCTTTAAAGTATACAGAGGCCCAATGCGAGGTTCTTAAAATTTTTAACAGTACAAAGAGGCATGACCGAGTGTATAAGGTAAGCAGTAGTCAAAATGAGGCATCCCCCCAAATCGTTTGGACAGATCTCATAGTAACATGAGAAGACCTATAGCTACTCTCCCAGCGACGTAATGTGCCTATTTTCTTCCTTTCCCCGCCGATCTCCATCTTTGGTAAGCATCTATAGTAATGACAACAAACTAGTTTGATGTTATATACCACTTAGGAAACTAAATAGGTACGAAAAATTCGCATTCATGTATTTCATGTACCCATTATCAGTTCTTAGCGCTTTTTAACATGCGCATCAAAAACTGACGTACAAATCATGGTTTATGGAAGCCTTGCTGGAAAACACCGACATAAAACGTTACATTTCTTGGTCTCAGTCATTAATATCCAAATCAACAGTCAATCTAAGACAGCAACAATAACCAATAAAGGTCACCCAACTCAATCTAGTGCAACAATCAATAAAGGTCACAAACCACCTATAACCAGAAAGAGAGACAGTTTTAGTAGGACCTCATACATCAGAATGAATAGTAGTAAAAGGAATCAAGCTTTTATTATTAATTGAAGAATAAGAACGCCTGGTGTGTTTGGCAAGTTTACAAGCATCACATACTAATGAATCGAAATCACACTTAGTAAAATAAAGATGGAAATAAACATCCTAAAACACAAAAAAGAGGGATGTCCTAATCTCCTATACCATTGAATAACTTCATTGGAAGGATTTCTGGAAGTTCCTAACAAAGCTTGACTAGTACCCGAATTTGAAAAACGACAAACGTCATCCAACGATACAGTCCATCGCGCAAGCTACCACTGCCAATCGTTCTCCCCGTGTTCAATTCTAGAAATATACAATGAGTAGGGTAAAAGGTTACTTTGTAATTAAGCGCTTTTGTGATTAAGTTAACACATAATGTTTTAACTAGTATAACAGCTGGATTTGAACAGCGGAATCTAGGCAACATAAAGAACAGAGGATAGTTTTAATATGTAGCTCTAAGAATCAAGTTAATAAGAACCTGTGCCAGCAATTGTGTATCTAAGGAAGCCATCCAAACTCAATGTGAATTTTTTTCTGTGTGCTGATAACTCTCTAGAATATGTTGAGGAAAGGTCTTTATTAGAGCCTGTTGTATGCTATTATTTGCTCTGATTCTACTATAATTCCCCAAAGAAAGGCGTTTGTTGCAATTTTTGGCAAGAAATGGTAAGAACAAAGCATTACCTTTGAATTAAACAAATTAGACAGGCTCGCAGGTTGAAGTTGCAGTAAGGAATCAAGACTGCCTGTCGACAACAATGTTTCAGGAGACTAAATACTTCCTTATCAGAAAAGCTTACTAGTTACGGTATGAAAAGCTACTAGTAGTAGATGTTTCCTCACATAAAGCTCCACCATCAGATATGTGTGCCTGCAGTCTAGAAGAACTGACCCGCTTTCCTCCACGCCATTTAGTTGGGTGTCCATGTAATTTCCAGCAGAACTCCTTAGTGTGCCTGTTCTTATCACAATAGTCACAAAATAATTGATCTCTATCTGAAGAACCGTTCTTGGCAGCCTGTATATGTTATCTTGCAGAATTAGCAATAAACCCTACTTTATCAATTGTAGATCTGTGAACCATAACATTCCTCCGAGTCTCCTCTTGCTGTACAAATGAATATGCTTGTCGCAAGGATGGAAAAGGATCTCGTCCAAGAACTTGGACCCGAATCTGATCATACTCGTT